ATATTAGTATTTCTTATATTATTTTAAAATTTGATATTTAATTTATAAAAATATATATTTATAGCGATAAATCCGAAATGGTACACGAAAAATTCCGCTATCCGGTACGTACCGTTCCAGTAGCAAAACCAATACGCATACCAATACGGTATTGACTACTTTGGATGAGAGAGAGAAAAAGCTTTTGATTAATCAAATTAAAATATTTAAAAATATTATAATTTGATCAATTAAAAATCATTATTTTCCCATTCTCTCATTCATTTTCTCAATCCAAACATACTATTAAGATAAAGTTGGAAAAACTTGCCTAAGAATGTAGACTTGTGCCTTTATCTGTAGAAAAAGAAAAAAAAAAAAACCTTCAAAGGTTGGAGAGATGACCTTCCTGATCCATTAGCCCAATTAAGCGTTGAGCACAAAATGGGCTTGCAACCCAAAAATAGCTGGCCCATAGTTAAGTTGATTAATGACTTTCTCACATTCGATTGATCCACGGGTTTCCGAGGCTGCATTAACATTGAACTTTTGGGAAGAGTGTTTCAACAAAGTTTAAGATTCTGTAAACCACAAAGTTGGTTGCAAACAAGTGTTGTCAAAACAGCTTTACAATTTAATTCTTGGCGTTATCACCAAAAAAATTAATTTCATTAAAAGTAGACTCCATAAGTTCAACTCATGGTGACGTATATTTCAGCGTGGAACACACGGTAACAAGAGAGTATCTATTCTTTCTATTTCGCTCAGCTTTCACAGCATTGCCATGTAAATACAAGAAAAGTTGTTTGAATTGTTCAAGCATATTCTAACAAATGGAAACAGTCAAACAGGGTATAAACAATTCACAAAGTCTAAGTCCACTCTGTACGTGGTCCAACTCAAACGCAGAAATCTAGCCAAAATTTCTGTTTTCTTGCCCATACATGACGGGAAATGAAGTTTCCAGAGGAAAGTTGCATTTTCCTGAATATGTTCTGATGTAAAGACCATTTCTTAACATTGACATTTACACCATCTTTCTGGAAACCTCGATTAATTTAGTTTCGTGGACATTGGAATACAAAGATCCTAGCAATAACCAGTTTCATATCAGTGTAGACTTCGAAATGATGCTGATTGTTGTTCCCACCAATGAATTACCTAGGACGGAAAAAAAACCCATATTTGAAGTTCTTCCCATACATCAAGTCGAACCGCAAAATCTTCAACAAATCTAGACACACTTTAGTGTCCTTTTGAACATACTTCTGTGCACAACGAAACCTATTTTGTATCAAATGAACGAGTTGTTGCACAGGAAATCATGAGGACCCACTCAATGAAAACAAATACGCTTTCGTGTAAAATTTTGAGGCTTTTAGTAGAATAAAATTGTTGCTGTAGCATTTTGCTGAAATCAAGAACTTTTGTTTACCAATCATGTGCGGTTACTACATATGTTAAGTGAAAATTTTCATATTGAAAAAAACTTATAATGTAAATGTAAAATAAGGTACCACATATTACTACATGTGGGTTGGGGATTGTTGTGGCTAGACTCCCTTGCTCTCCCCCATGAAGCTAGCCAAATAGGTGAGAATGTCTAGAAACTTAGAATATTTATAGTGACTTTTTTTTCTACAATCTTGTAGCCTTATGTATGCCCATGTATTGATTGCAAATACAATCTCTAATCATAAATGATTCTCTTTATTTAATTGTCTATATTCGATAGGGGTATAATTTATTTTACCACTAGTGTTATAAGTAATGCTTCTGTCTTTTGTCTTTAAACTTTAATGCCATAACAAAGGGATATAATGTAATATCTCTATCTATTAATATATTCTCTATTTTTATCCCAAAAAAAAAAATCATTTGAATGCTAATCTTGCATTTAGATCCAAATGTCAAATTTTCACAATAAAATTTTTTTGTTTTGGAATTTGAATTGTATATCAAGAACTAGTAAATGAGGATACTACTTGTAGACTCAATGAATCATCCTCATTTATTGATGTATGTTGTATAGTCTAACGTAATCTGAATTTAATAACACATTTCTATTCACAATATATCTTCAAGAACAACTCATCATGTTGCATTCTCAAGGATTGAAATCAAGTTACACACTTGGGATTCCTTGTATTTAAGTTGGTGTTTAATTAATTGTAATGGGAATGAGAGATGCAAAAAAGATAAATGAGCTGGTGTTCAGTAAGATGCAAATTAATAAAAATTTTATGATATTCTATATGTTTGTGGGCTGGTTAGTAAAAATATATTATCTTGATCTATCTTTTACAATACATCGCACGAAATCAACAACAATTTCTAAGAAATTCCTGGGTTTCATTCTTACTGTTCGTGCGAGTCGGACAAGTAGTTTTTAATAAACTTTGTTTAGTTTTTTCAACAAAATTAACATTAGTTAATTCATACTTGGAAGCAATTTTCTAATTAATTGATATGCCTGGATCATGTTTCCGCTTGCAATATAATTTTTTTTTTTTTGAGGAACACTTGCAATATAATTTGATTAAATTAAGATGGTTGATTACTTTTAATAATAGAAAAAAAAAAGGCGCAGGTTGTGATTTTTGAGTGGTTCTCTTTCCCAAACTAACGGAGACAAAATGATATATAATATAAGTAGGTAAATTCCTTGATAAATCCCTAACCTTTATGACATTGGTAACTTCATCCCTAACCTTCATTCCAAGCAAATATTTGTCCCCAACCTTTCCAAAAATCTCTACCAATGGTTTTTCCGTTAGATTGAGGTGTTAAATTGGAATGCTATAGCAAAAGCTTGGTCAAGTTGGGTCCCTAGATAGACCCTTCAATAGATAATTAGTAATCTCAAATGAATAAGAAACCTATAGCCTCGGATGCTATATATTAGGAAAATAGCTTCTAATATTTCAAAGGAAGCTGCTTCTAATTGGAATGCTATAGCAAAATGAACAAGAAACCTAAAGCCTTGGATGTTATTTGGAAAATAGCTTTTAATATTGAGGAATGTTTTTTTTTTTTTTCTCTTTTTTGTCGTCTTCTATATTAAGGAATGGTTTAAAGCTTGCAAAAATTCTACTGGTAAGAAAAATGATCAAGACCATTGTTAATTGGGGAAATCTCACATTGAAAAAATAGAAGAAATATGTATGAATTAAATATAAAGAGGGTCATTTCACCTATAACCAATTGATTTTAACTTAAATTTGAGTCTTAATTTAAACCTTATATACCCAATTTTAACAACCATTAAATTGTCATAAATGGGGAGAACCTTTATTTGGATGGTTGAATGTGAATTGAGATATCGATCAAATCATGTAAACCACTATAACCAAGTGACGTCTTATAAGCTAGTTCTAGAATTTAAGTCTTGGATCAACTTTCAAGGAGTGCACCAAGGCGATATAAGGAGTGCGCCTTTATGATTGCCCAAGGAGGGAGGTTAGAGAATGCTGACTTGGGGTCCTCACCATACAAACCAAAACAATCATATTTCAAAGGAGGAATTGGCATGTGGTAAGGAATGAATTTGGCTTTTTGATGAATGGTGTTAGTGGCATTGTTTTGTTAATTTTGCTTTGGTTTTGAAAGTTGAATTGCATTTTTTCTTTTTGAGTTTGAGTTGCATGATAGGAGAGAGCTGTCTCTCATTCCATTATCCACTCCACCAGCATGCCCATGACTCAAACTTAAGATCTTTTAATTGCTCCATTTAGAGAAGAGATTATCCTTAGGCCACTTAAGTCTCTAGCAAAGTTGAAATGCAATTTGTGTTGGATAAGTAACTTATGAATTCTATAATTGAAGTCGATATAAAAGAGTTTGTTTGATTTCATTCATGATGATCAATAAAAGGTTTGCTTGATGTACTTTGTCACAGATTAAATAGATACTACAACCACTATTTTTCTTTTACTGTTTTTCTTTATTTATAGGTTATATAACCTGTACATATTTTTCTTTATTTATAGTGTTTTTAAGGTAGGAATACATTCATTAACGTTTTCCTATGAAATTTAAAATTGCAAAATTACATGAATATGAATTGTAGGCATATGACCAAGAGTATAGCTAGGTATCTATAGTTATATGGGGGATTATCTACATGTCTTTTGTGTGAAAATATAGTCCTTAAGGGACTATACCTACAATTTTTAGCTATAGAGCTACAGTTTTTGTCTATAGTTAAGTTCTTTTCCTTTCTAAGCATCAACTATCTTTGATTAAAAGAAATGCAAATGGCACTGCTAATTAGTGGCACAGTAGACAGAAAACAGCCATTTCCTCTATTGAGTTCCCTCCAACATCTTTGGTGCAAATTCTCCACAAGAATGCGATACCCCTTCTCTTCATTGAAGAAATGGGAGAATTATTAACAAGAAATATAGGAGAAACAAGGACACTGGTAATCAGGCATTGGCACTTCTACTATCCAAGGGAACATGTGAAGTTTTTTCACTTTCAAACTTAGTCATTTAGATGAAGCATCGACACATTTAGTGCATGCATGCCATAACAATACCATTTAGTGAATGCATGTCATTTAAATGAAGGTAAGGAAAATTATTTTTGTATGATACTGGCA